GTTCTTTTGAATCACATGAGGTTGTAAATCATATTAGGGGTTTGACATAATCAATCCGTATCCTAATAATATGATTTGAAACATTGTATAAGAGAAGGACCGTATTGTATTGCAATTCCAACTGAATAGGTTCTTCATCTATTCTGGTTAGCTTGGGTAGCCTTGATATATTGCTAGATGTCACTCTTGGCTTGTGGAAGTCCTAGGATTGATTGTGATCGATCCAAATAAAGGAAGAATTAAAAAGGGGTTTTAATTCCAGTTGGTTAGAAAGAGTTCTAATATTTTCCCACTTCCTTGCTAATTAGAACCTAATGGATCGCACACCTTAAATGGTTAACTTTGAGTAATACAAATGAGAATGTGGAAATCAATTTGATTGATTTGATGTGGATGATTTACTACGTGTAAAAACGTATTTGGGCCTCGATAATAGTTAGAGGGAAGCCCAAATGGTTGGGTATCAAGTCCAAGGGCTTAAGACACCTAAATATTATGGTTTAAGTGTCATAAGGCCTAATTTTGGAAGCCCAATGGGATTTGGCCGAAAATGGTTAAGTGAATGTGTATGGGAATTGTTTCCATAAGCTTATTGACACACAAACACAATCCAAGATCAACCAAATGGGTTTGGAAGATCAAAGAGAGAGAAATGAGAGTTTTCAAGAGTGAAACACTTTCATCTTTCATAGTGGTTTAGATTGAAACCAATCTTGAGAATCTTGCACTAGCATCCAAGTATTCTCAAGATACTTCTTCTCATCTCAAGGTTCCATTGGTGTGGAGACTTAGAGGCCATATACTTTTGTGGCTCACATGGAGGAGAAAGATTAAGGAGCAAAGATCAAAGAGGAGATCAACAAAGAGGAAATCATCAAGAGAAGACCAAACACAAATTGGTTCATATAATTGCTTCAAGGGTAATTAGATCTTATCCTTTTCTCTTGAATTTTCATTTATGAAAAACATATCAATGTTCATGGCTTAAGATACTTGGAAGAAGTTTTGTTTTTGAATTTAAACAACCACCTTAGACTTCCGCTGCGATTAATTTGATTAAATGCATGTTTAATATTCAAATGAACTTTGGAAAAATGTTTTGAAATTCCTACAGATTCTACATTCTCTTCAAAATATGGTCAGAGAAACATATAAATGGAACTCGGCCTTGCTTCCACAATTTTATTTTCCGACCACCAAATGAGATAATTGTTAAGGGAATCTATCTTACGAAACATGAGTCAGCAAACTATGCATTTAATATTTGCATGTCGTATTATCTTTATCATGAAACTACCATAAAAGTCTTACCAATGACATAGTTGAACCTAACCTAGATCAACACAAGTAAGTGTTGGATGATGATTTAGATTAAGAGGACAATGACCCAGATCCAGAGGATTAATTTTTTGGTGATAATCAAAGAGTCGACCATGAACTGGTGGATTTTTTGCACTATATGTATAAGTTTCCATTTGCAAATACAATAGTGTACAACTCCAGTGACATGGTTAAACCTGGCCTAGATCAACACAAACAAGTGTTGGATGATGATTCATATCCAGAAGACAATGATTTAGATCCAAACGACTATGACCATGATCCAGAGGATGGATTGTTTGACGATGATCAAACCATGAACTCATGAAATGAGCATTAATTTAAAGTTGGAAAAAGGATTGATTATTTAAAACAAAAGGTAAGCCACTGATTGTATATATTTTAGCTTTGATACCAGGGGTGAATAATTCAATATAAAGACAATTGGGTTGGGTGTCCAGGGAAGCTTGCACTACTTGTGCAAGTTTCAAATTGCAAATACAATATTGTACGACTCCAGTGACATAGTTGAACCTAGCTTAGATCAACACAAGCAAGTGTTGGGTTATAATTCAGATCCAGAGGACAATGATTTAGATCCAGACGACGATGACCCTGATCTAAAGGATGGATTGTTTGACTACTATCAAAGAGTCGACCATGAACTCATGAGATGAACATTAATTTAAAGTTAGAAAAATGATTGAGTATTTAAAATGCAAGGTAAGTCACTGATTGTATCTTTTTCAGCTTTTATCATGATGTGATTATAGTTAAGCTACTAATACCAGGAGGAATAATCCAGTAGAAAGACAACTGGGTTGGGTGTCTAGGCAAGCTTGCCCTACATGTGTAAGTTTCCAATTGCAAATACAATAGTGTACGGCTCCAGTGACATGGTTGAACCTGGCCTAGATCAATACAAGAAAGTCTTGGATGATGATTCATATCTAGAGGAAGATGATTTAGATCTAAATGACAATGACCTTGATCCAGAAGATGGATTGTTTGACGATGATCAAACCATGAACTCATGAGGTGAGCATTAATTTAAAGTTAGAAAAACGGTTGATTATTTAAAACACAAGGTAAGCCACTGATTGTATCTATTTCAACTTTTGTCAAGATGTGATTACAATTGTACTACTAATACCAGGAGTGAATAATCCAGTATAAAGACAACTGGGTTGGGTGTCCAAGCACACTTGCACTACCTGTGTAAGTTTCCAATTGCAAATACTTGTGTAAGTGACATACTTGAACCCAACATATATCAACACAAGCAAGTGTTGGATGATGATTCAGATCCAAATAACGATAATTTAAATCTAGAGGACGATAACCCTGATCCAGATGATGGATTGTTTAACGATGATTAAAGAGTCGGCCATGAACTCATGAGGTGAGCATTAATTTAAAGTTAGAAATTTGGTTGATTAGTTAAAACGGACGATGATTTGGTTAATTGGATTTATATAAAGTTTAAAATTTTGATTTGGTTAGTTGAGTTAGGATTACTTTATCTAAAAATTGAATAAGACATTTCGACCCAAAAAACATTGAATAAGACAAAGTTTCTTTATAAAAAAAAAAGACAAAGATTAAATATGAACTCCAACAAAAAGGGAAAAAGCAATTCGAACTAGAGTTGGGATAGGACTAGATATTTTGGGAGGTTTCAATGTCGTCGATCTCTCCAAGGGTTCGGGTGTCTTTTTCTTATGGGGATTCATTGTTAGTTTCTTCAAAAGGTTCAATTTCAAACAACCCAGAGTGGAACGTAAAAGAATTGCACTGCCTCTGTCTGGACTTACTCGCCTCTCTGTCTCAAGAACAGGAGCCTCGCCGTCAATCCAGAAGATGGATTGTTTGACGATAATTAAAAACTCGACCATGAACTCTTGAGGTGAGCATTAATTTAAAGTTAGAAAATTGGTTTATTAGTTAAAACGCATGATTAGCCACTGATTGTATCTATTTCAGCTTTTGTCAGAATGTGATTACAATTGTGCTACTGATACCATGAGTGAATAATTAGTAGAAAAACAAATGGGTTGGGTGTCCAAGCATGCTTGCACTACCTATGTAAGTTTCCAATTGCAAATACAATGTTGTGCGGCTCAAGCAAGGTTATGTGGAGAGTACAGAAAAGTATACAAAGATGAGCACAAAGGTAATTGTTTAGTGCCCGACGAAGGTAATGATGGGAAGTTCCTCATACTTGTATTCCACCTTGTCATTTTCCTTGATCATACATGCGCTACATTTGGTCACACCTAGTTTACCCCTGACGTCGTAGGCCCATCTAGCTCCCAGCCCAGCCTAGTCCCCTCTTTTAGGACACACCTAGTTTTCCCTCGATACTCTCTCTTCTCCTTTTCCTCCACAGCCCTATCCCCAAACCCTCACTAATGACCATCCAATGATCACTCATCACAAAAATAATATTTCTAAACCTAAGCATCTCTACATTGTTACAAAGCATTTCATACCTCTCTCTTGAAGTCTACATGTGTTTCCCAAGCTGTTCGAGATCCTCAATGGTGTGCCACCATATCCGAGGAATTTTATGCCCTCATTCGCAATGGAACCTGGGAGCTTGTTCCTTCCTCTCCGACTCAGAATCTCATTAGTTGCAAATGGGTGTTCCGCATCAAGCGGCACCCTAATAGTAGTATTGACATGTATAAGGCTCGTTTGATGGCTAAGGGGTTCCACCAACGCCTTGGAATTGATTTCGCTAGCACATTCAACCCAGTAGTTAAACCTACTACTATCAGAGTTGTCTTCTATCTTACATTTACTAACCTATGGCCTATTCATCAACTTGACATAAATAATGCATTTATGGATGGCTCTATTAGTGAGGATCTGTTTATGATCCAACTACTTGGCTGTTTATAATGCTTCCTTATTCATTTATCGTAAGGATGGTGATATTATTGATTTTTTGGTGTATGTTGATGATCTTGTTGTTATTGGAAACAACATTGTTACTATCTCTACCTTTATCCAGCATCTGGCCCAATGGTTTCTATTAAGGATTTGGGGTCCCTTAATTATTTTCTTGGTGTAGAAGTTGTCCCTACTGCTAGTGGTGTTTTCTTATCCCAACACAAGTATATTCAAGAGCTTTTAAACAAGGCTCACATGGATGGTGCTAAGGAGGTCATTGTTCCCATGTCCACTTTTGCTCATCTCCTTGTTCATGATGGATCTCCTACAACTGATGCCATAGAATATCGACGCCCTGTTAGTAGTTTACAATATCTCAGCATCACTCATCCTGATATATCGTTTGATGTATGGTATCATTATCACACTCACTGTACGGTACGGTTTTTCTCTCCTCTCTCTCTCTCTCTCTCTCTCTCTCTCTCTCTCTCTCTCTCTCTCATTTTTTTTCTTTATTTATTAGGGTCTTACATAGATTGTGATACAAAATGTAGTGGTATCTAAATGATGTAGTATAATCAAGATAACTAGCTTTCCTTTGGTTAGGTAGTTGCAGTGCTCCATGAATTTTTAGGATTCTTGTAAGAAATTTTGGTGATTTTGATAGAAAAAAGTGGTTTGTGCGTATAGCCAATCGGTCTTTGTTAAGAGCATCCACAATGGTTGTTCAATAGTTCAATAAATTGATCTTTTTTTACATCTATTGAATTGAACTACAATTTTACTTTTAATTGTACAATTCAATAGCTTCATATCAATAGTTATATATACTTACATGTTTTTTTACATACTCAAATAAAATAAAAGGGATAAATTTTATAACACTAAAAATTGTACCATTGCAATATTCTCAAAGAGATCTTTAAAAAGAGATCAATTTTGAATGTATTTGAAAAAAAAATTAATTGATGTATTTTTTCTATTGCATTGAACTATTGAACAACCATTACGGATGCATGCAATTAAAATTTTACTATTTTAATTTAATTTTATACAATAAAATTGCATTAATTCTAAAAGATGTTAGATGTTAGTTGTTTCTTATTGTTTTGTTTCTCATCAAGGGGTAGTATATAAAATTCCTCATATATCTCCACGCGGCGTAAGTCTGTCAGCCTTTCCACAAAACGGTTAAAACAAACCAAAAGAATGCAGAGTAATTGTTGTATTATGTAGTCGTTTCACAACTTAGATTAGAGGGATACAAGGTTGCAGACTTCTTTTGTTTTTTTTTGGTAGTCGTTTCACAACTTAGATTAGAGGGATACAATGTTGCAGACTTCTTAATTATCAACAAGTCAGCATTTATTTGACTAAAAAAAAAAAAAAAAAACACACATGTGATCAATAAATTAGGGTTTTTTTTCTATATAATTTAGAGTGCTGCTATTTCCATCCATCTGTCCTATTTTCCCACTTACTTTATTTTTAAACTTTTAAAGACAAATTTAACCCTATTGTAAAATGACTTTAAAGGACTTAAAGAAAAAAAAAAAGATAAAAAAAAAGAAGAAAGATGTAGACTTCTCAAGTTCTCACGAACCCTATTGTTTGCATGAAAATGTGATGAAGAGTGAAATACATGGTGGAATATTTGATGAAGAAGAACAAGGTCTTGCTGTACCAGAGGAAGTTTGATTTGAGAGATGGTGTGGTTTCCATTGAGGCATAGAGAGATGTATAGTAAACATGTGAGACAGAAAGAGATGGAGCGTGAGAGATGGAAAATAAGATACAACAAAAATGAGAGAGAGATATGTAGGCTGTCAAAGAGAGAGAAGAAATGAGCAGAGTGAATAAAAGGAAAGAGGAATGAGGTAATAATTAAAAGGGTATTTTAGGAATATTTGTGGGTGGAAAAATAGGATCGTGTTTTTTTTTAAAAAAAAAGGAAGATTACACTGATCATAAGGTTCCTTAATTACTAGTCTAAAAGCCCACTCAATTCTAATTATAAATTAGGGTCGGATGCCGAATTATAAATGGAAAGTTACACTGATCTTAAAGTTCATCTCAGAGCCATCCTAAAAGAAAGGATCATCTCGAATCTCCTGGCAACCTTGCGGTTGCACTGGAGCCTATGAGTATGAGCTGGGACACGAAAAGAAAAGAAACAAGACAGAGAATTAGTGATGACCATGAAGCTGCTATGGACTCGCGTCCTTCTCACTGCATCTTCACTGACAAAAGCACCTGCGTGTCATCACAGCATAGTTCAACAGCTATTACGTGTCACCTCCTCCTTCTCTCAGCCTCCTCACTCACCTTCCAAGCCTCCCTCTTTATAAACACCCCATTTCCCTCCAATTCGACTTTGCATATTAGCAGAGATTTCATTTCAACTTCCAATATATAGTAAGTTCAGAGTTTGTGAGAAAGACTTGAAGTTCAAAGGAGATGGCATCAGAGCAGGAAAGAAGTGACCCAAGCAAAAGAAAAGAACTAGACGAGAAGGCAAGGCAGGGAGAGGTTGTTGTCCCTGGTGGAACTGGTGGCAAGAGCCTCGAGGCTCAAGAGCACCTTGCTGAAGGTAAAATAAAACCACTCTTTCCATGGCTTTTGTTTTGTGTAATTGTTTCTCGGGTCTTAAGTGTAATTCCACATTATTAACCTGGCTAATTCTGTATTTTTGTGGTGGTGAAGGGCGGAGCCGCGGAGGGCAGACAAGGAGGGAGCAGGTGGGTCATGAAGGGTACCAGGAGTTGGGCCACCGTGGCGGCGAGACTAGGAAGGAGCAGATAGGCCATGAAGGGTACCGTGAGATGGGGAAAAAAGGAGGGCTCAGCACCAAGGACAAGTCTGGAGGAGAGCGTGCTGCTGAGGAAGGCATCCCCATTGATGAGTCCAAGTACAAAACCAAGAGCCGCTAACATGTTCATTATTGACTTTCCAAGCTCAAGGCCTCTCATTTTTGTTTTTTCGCTTCTAGTGTTTTTGCTCCAACTAGAGTTGTAGGATGGCTCCTAGTTGGTTGTAGTTTTCTTACTTGTTGCCCAAGTATGTTGTCAGTATAGTCTCTGAACTGCCACTATGTGTGACCCTTGTGTTTTCTTTTGTATCTGAAGTTGGGCTTGGAATTCTCTGTACTAACTGTATCACTGACCAGGTCTCAATGGAACTTCTAATTACTAGGGTTCAGATTGCTATAATAATCCTAATTTCTTGGATTTCGAAAGGTCCAACTACAATCTCATAGCTTAAGTTCAACAATCTAGTTATGTTCAAGCGAGGCACGTAACATTAAGTCAAAATTGTAACAAAACAAACAGTCAAATTCCTTTCAAGAGCATAAATAACAGATTGTTGCTTTATCCGAATGAATTTACTGATCCACCATTCACCTAAAGATGACACTGCTAAAAGAAGAATATTTACAACAGCAACTTCCCAGTAAATTGATTCTCAATCAATCAGCAAAACTTTGGTACAATAAGTCACGGAGACATAATTTAGCAGTAGCTGTTGTACACGACTGGAAAAGTACTGCATTCGGTGATTTGTGTGATTGCCACTCTATATATCTCTCTTTTTATTTCATCTCGTGCCCAAGCGCCATGCGTTCAAAATATCAATGACTCATCGCTAATGCTGTTACCAAAAGACCAAGCACGAGAAACGGCTGCGCGCTGGCCTGGAATGTAAATAGAGCAGATTTGAATATCTGATTCTTGGATGGTGCAAAATCAGATTATGTTAAGTAAGGTTTGAAGCAATACCTGATATTTAACATCATACTTGACAGGGTCTTTGAGAAAGTACTTGAACTGCAGAGCAAAAAATTTAGCATAAGCAATGCCGAAACTTTCGCAATCTAAACATAAGAGCATAACATATATCTATCTGTGGTAATAAAAGGAAAACTGATTTAGAAAGAATAGCAATCTTTTAAAAATGATTTACCTGAAAAAAGACTTGGGGAGCTATCAAAGCAACGAGAGCTAAAGCATAATATGGTTTACCAGCCCCTAGCAGATAACCTGCAACCATAACAACATAACCCACACGTCCGATGATCACAAAAACCAGCTTCAACAATTACAATCTCTTTGACCTAAATTGCTCTGCATGAACACAACATACCGGCGATTGATAACTGAGTGATGTCAATGGCGCCAACGCAAATCCATTTGGCAGTTTCCGAACCGAAAGCTACAGGGAGTGACTGCAAACAGCATCGCAACAATAATGTTACAAAGTCTGCATCTAAGATTGTTTACAATATTGTAAAACAGAAAATAAACGACCTGAAGTCCCATTGCTCTATCTCCTTCAACACTTTTGAAGTCATTTACAATAGCAATTCCCAACTGAAATGTGGCAGAAATATATGCACTGTCAGTTAGATCATCTTTTGTAAACACGTGCTAAGATAATTGAACTTCTTTCAGAAACATACCCCAGCTATGCTGTACAAGAGTGTGAGGACAATTATGTCAGGTGTAAGGGTCCCGAATAATGCCTGACCAGCCCACCTATCAATAAAAGATTGAACCAAAATACGTTACCCAACACAGTGAATCTAAAACAGCTTCTAGCAGTTAACCAAATTACAAGAATATATTGGTGACGGTTCCTAATTAATGGGAGCTACATTATAACAAGATTCCTAAGAGGTATCCAATTCAACGAACGAGCAGGAATGATGATTATCCAATTCAATGCAGTTCTTGGCTGCATGTAGCATACCAGATAAAACTTCTTTAAATTTCAAGAAAAATCTAGGTACCATAAACAATCACGTCAATCTTAATTACTAAAGGATTCCTAAATCAAATCGCGAGCTCTGAACCCTTATTTGAATCATTCAATTTTTGTAAATTCACAAAAAAGAGATCATGTAGAGGATATCGCACCATGGCAAACTGATATAACTTGCTCCAAGGGCAAAATTTCCAATCCATCCATTTTGTTTCAGCTGCAACAACTCATGAAGCTTAGTCAGGGGTTAAGCAAAGTTTCTTCTGGAATATTTGATTTGTTGATAGTGGGGGAAACTTACCTTTAAAGGTGGAGCGGAGTAAATGTATGATAGAAAGGATCCACCCAAAGCAAGGTAGAAAACTATGGGGAACTTATGTCCTGCCTAAAAAGGACATAAATTTATGATTGATATTGATCTAAATATTTACATTGGTAAGAAAGAGCCAGTCCATTTCAATTACTTACCCACACATCTAATATACCAGCACAGCTAAGGCCTCCTAAAAGCAGCACCCAGATTTGAGTAATAACCTGAGGGAAAATTTAACAACAAAATAACAGGATTAAAAATGTAGTCGTCATCCCTTCTTTTTTATACAAAACACAGTTAAGTACACCATTACCTCATTCTCAGATATTGCCCCCGAGGGAATTGGACGATATGGTTCATTAATTGCATCAATTTCTCGGTCATACCAATCATTTAGTGTCTAAAAAAGGCCAGGGAGTTATTGGAGTATAAAGACCTCATTAGATCAAAAGCAAAACCAAACTTCGCATTCCAATTAAAGCATACCTGGGTATAGCCAGTGAGAAAAGGGCCAGACATACACATGCAAACTATTGATTTGGCAACGTCCTCAAAAGTCCAATGAAAATTTCCTGCAACATGAAAGAATTGCCTCAAAAGTAATTTATGGACAGAGAAGAAGTGTAGGAAATATTACTAGAATTGCAAACATTAAATATTTCAAGAAGTTTAATGAATTCCACTAATATTAGATGACCTGTCAAAAACTTCTGACCACTCCCACACCGTGCTCTTGTCTCAAATCAATAAATTACTCATCACTGGCACTGGCAGTAATACATCCTAAATGAATCTCCAAGTCCATATACTAACCAAATTCTTAACGTCAATAAATTAATGTGAAGTGGCAGTTCTTTATCCTTAATGGATCTCCAAGTTGAGATTCTGACCAAATTCATTACAAAAGGAAAATATTCTGGCAGTGGTGTGTAATCTTTAAATCAGCAATAAACATTAAATGTGTGGTTAGTATAACATTATAGGCTTAACGGACCAAGCCAGAAACAAATCATGAAATTTAGTAGCTGTATTAAAAAGGAAGAAAGTATTAATGGAGAACAGCACATCCCCGATAAGATGGCAGTACTACTGCAGGAACTTCCAAAGTAAAGTAAGCCCTTGAAATTGGAAATTGGGAGGAGATGGGAAACAGGAATATTGATGTGCATTGTAAGTTGTAGGGGACTTCATTAGCTCCATAGACAATTTCCAATCATGAAACCAACAGTATAAGGCAACTAGAAACTATGAAACTATAGATGGTTCGGTATATACAACGAGCGTACCAGAAGCAGCAGCTCCGCAAACTACTCCCCATACCAGGGGAGGCCAAGTTACAGGCTTTGTCAACTGAAGACGAATCTTCCATTTATTCTGTACAGTTCAAAGCACATATTCAAATCTTGTGTCATTTTTCTTGCAACTATAACTCTATCAACTCAAAATCTACTAGAAGATGCATTTCAACTAAAAATCTGAAACTCCGATTATCCGCCTTAATCATGTTAAGTATATTATAAACTTAAGCTTCTAGCATCATCTGAAGAAACTAAATTCCGAGCACATAGAAAAGGTACTAAAACTTATATAATGAGCCAACATTTGACGACTTACAGTTTCTTGAGAAGCTCCTTTAATACCAAGAAGCTGATTGAAGCTCGAACCATTCTTAGCCGGTGCCTTATCGGGTACCTGAGGTTCAACAGCTAACGAAACAAAAATAGCAACCTTAAATCCCCAAAAGCTCTCACCATAATCCACTTCCACTCTATCAAAATTCTCGAGAAAAAAGAAATGCACAAGCTCAATATGATAATATACCTTCGTTTGTATCGGTCTCCGCAGCCCTAACCGTAAGCCTTCTTCCTGAAAAGTTTACAAACTCGTTTCAGTGTAAAGAAAAACAGATAAGACGAAGCTCAATCAGTAAATCTCACTAGTCATTAGATTGCTAAGAAAATAAAAAAGAAAATGGAAGTAAAATTTGAAATAATTGAATGGGCAGCTTGAAAGTGTTTCAAACGTTGTTTGCCGGATTTTGAATTCTCGGCAACCAAACGGAGCACAGACGAGTGAACTCACTGGTAAACGAAACAGAAATCGGCGCCAAATTGGACTGAGTTCGAACTCGGCTGGCGTTGAGTTTCGATAATCTAATGGACGACACCGTATTCAGTACGGACGCCATTGAAGCTGTAAAGAGCTTACTGGCCAAGCCGGGAGAGAAGAGGAAGAGCAAGAGCAATTGCGCGGAGTAGCCGATAACACTACCTGTGATAAATGTTTGACGAAGGGGAGAAAAGAGCGCGGATACGGTGTGCTTTGGCATACGTAGTTTAAGCTGCGCTTGATTACGTGGCGACGTGAGGTTGGTGGTTAGACTTTAGTACCTTACTTGGCTTTTGTTGGGACCAGGTTGATTAATAAATCCTCGGACATAGTACAAATGATGCGTTCTGTCGCGTCAAAGTGATCGAAGTTAAAGGAAATTTCTTTTATTTTTGGTGGAATTTTATATGAGTAATTTCATAATTAATTCACCTGGTTTATAGTTGCTATAACAAGCTCAGTAGCTAAGGGAAGCTTTGAATTCCAGTATGTTTCATGCTTTATATTAAAGTTAAATCTTGTAATTAACTTACAAAGATTGTTGACATACCTAGCATAGAGAAAGACAATTAAAAGTTACATTTTCTGAAAGTGGGGGAGATACTTGCAAGTGTAAGAAAACATTTTAATGGAAAAAGAAGGGGGATAGAGAATTATGTATTGGAGAGAAGGAATGCCTACATTTAAGTGTACTAATCTACATACGTAGGTTAGGTCAATTGATCAGGGCAGTCAATCCGCCCCCTTGTACTCAAGTTTGAGTTCCGATCATTGTAGATTATATTAATTTTGAGTGATTTTGACTATCGCTTAGAAAAGAGGAAGAGAGATAATATTTGAGGTAAATGATCCATGAAGGATCAGTTTGTTAGCAATGGGCCATAAAGAGTAAGCGCTTACTAACTCCAGCCCACGCACATGTTACGCCCCAAAAAGGGCCGGTATGGATGTCTTCCTTTACAACAGTCGAAAAAGGTGGTCAGGGAAAAAGCTGCTCGTAGTCCACTAACTTTTTGGGATTTGGCATCTTTAGTGAAAAGGATTTTTGGATTCTATGTTAACAATGAATCAAGAAAAAGGATAGATGGATACAGAATGATTACATTATTGTACAAAGTAATGCTTGTCTACTGTTGGGGATTCTTAAAAAGATTTCTCCTATTAGGTCAAGTAATAATCCTAGTGGTTCTCTTGTTTATATAATTTTTAGCTCTCAAAACCTTTTGGCTCTAGTATGGTCCGTGGAGACAAAATCTTTAGTGGACATGTACAAATTTGTTCTATATGATGAAATGGGAATACGATAATGGTTGTCACTCTTCCGTCAATCAATTAACTTGAATGGTTTTATTAACTAATTCTTGGTTTAGTGATACTTCTCTTTTCAATGTTGAAAGAGGTCCCAAGTTCGAATCTTCCTTCACAAAAGACAAAGAATCTCATTAAACGCATACACATTAGTTATAGGAATATCACTCAACACAAACCAATATGCCATTTCCTCTAATTAATAGAGCAAGTGTATGCGGAGGTATTTACCCCTATACTCAAGAGGCCAAATATAAAACAAACAAATATTCGTATCAAAGGGCTTTTCAAAATTTTGTCACACTAGTATTATTTAGGGCATAATTGTTGTCCTCATAGCATATGACTCACCTCAAAAGAATATTCCGGTCCTTATGCTACCATCTCTCTATCCCAATCTCAATTTTTGTGTCATAAAAATTCAAAGTCCCCTGTGAATAAGACTTCACCGATCAGTCTAAAAAGGTACCTTTCTAATTTAGAAAACTTGGCAGCATAAGGGAAGATGCTTGATCCTCAGTCCACAATCCACTTATCAATAGTCCTCCTTCAGAAATTCTCTCCCATTCCCCTATATATTCTTTAACAATCTCCATATGTGCTTCAAGAGAATGTGATTCCAATTCCACCCAACACACAGGACCTCCTGCCTAATTTAATAATTTGATACCACTTTGGAATATCACAAGCCAGAGCCCCAAAAACAGGAATATTATTGGAATTTTCCCAACTAAAAGGACCTTATGCTAACACTATTTGCCAACAAACAAACCCACCTATCCTTTGCGTAATCACTCATGCTCGCCATTGTTTCATGGAATCAAACCAGCATAAGATGCAATGACATAATATCTTACTGCATATACGTCTAAATTATTTTTTGGCTAGATGCTTTTTCGGTTTTTGTGCGGCTATATGCTTGGTATTTAGTATTCGTTACCATCAACATTCAACACTGTTTAGTCTGTGCCCAGCCCACTAGCACTAGGGCACTTGGCGAAAGAGAGTGAAAATTATTTAAAGGTATGTATCCTTCAACATCAGTACACAATAAATATAATAGATACTGGTGACTCAAAAACAACAGCAAAAGTTATTTCTTTAATTAATTTCCAATCACTTTTACACTAGCTAGCTCAAATTATTCTTAACGTATCCATTAGATCTACTTATATATGCTTTTCACCTCTGTAGATGGTACTTTTATGGTTAAACAACATCAAAAGGTTCAGGAAATTCCAAACCTACTTTCAAGGTGGAAGACACATCCGTCAATCGTACAATTATAAACAAGAGATTACAAATTTTCACATAATAATATGTTGGAAGGTTGATAACAATTCAAACTCGTATTCAATACAAACACTTGGAAATACCATACTCGTTGACTCCTCAAAAATTCATCTTTATCTATTGAGTGACACGTTCGGTCATCGTTCGTAATAAATACGTAAAATAGCAAAATAAACTAACAAGTTATTACCCAAGGGGTTTGGTCTAGTGGATATCCTGGCTAGGCCTGCAAGTGGGCGAATGTTAGCTGGCCTCAGTGAGGTCCAGCGTTCGAATCCCACCTTGTGAAAAAACACCCCCTGGGGAGAGTCAAATCCGTTCAGGTCTACGACTCGGAGTGGTTGCTCACTTGCTATTACCAAAAAAAAAAAAACTAACAAGTTATTTGATTGGTCATAATTTTCAAGTTCCATAGTGATAATAACATAGTACCAAGTACCGGCAGTTATAATTTCTACCTTACCCAATGACGTGTCAAGTAGATCTGTGGTCGAGTCACTGAGATCTTGTTTCCTTAAAATGATCTTGGAACGAAAAAGAAAGGTATCGATTACCTTTTGTCATTTGTCACACCAACTTATACAATATTGTGGTCCATGCGTTAACGGTTAATTAGTAATTACCATGTAAGTGATGGGATTTTTTTATTTGTTTGGGTCGAAATTGATGGGATAGGGAGGGTCACAGGTATGGCAAATTGTCAAACATGCGATATTTTGTCGCGACAAGCCTTGATGGCTCTTTGCCAAATGAAAGGTACACAATCATATTTCTAGGTCCGGCTTCTATAATACATAAAAATATAATATTGGTTGGGTCATGGTGGTCTATTCATTAGTACATTTACCTCATTAAGTGGTGTAGCACTATTTAAGAGTCAATTTAAGAGTCATAATGATTCAACAAGTATGATATTTTGTTCTGAGTACGTACATAGACAAATCATAGAGTACGTACATAGACAAAATATGGTCAGTCTCTGAGCACGTGATTGTAGCATACGTTCTTGTAGAGGAAAATTCAAAATCCTCCCACAGTACATACCAACACGCCCTCTTTAAGCGTTTTGATTGAAGTTTTACAAACCTGTCATTCTATTTTCATCAACTAAAACCCAAGCAATATGAGTATTGCACGATTATGAAACCAACAACATTAGCATTTCTTGTACTTAAACTTTCCCTATAACTTGCCATATGTGCGTAAAAATGTTGGAAATTAAGCCTAGATGTTCTTGTATTTAGTTAAAATTAACGTGATTGTAACCATACAATTGTAAAAAAAAAAAAAAAATAATGTTAACATTTCTTGAGTTATACATGATTTTTGTACTTGACACGTGTGCATGAATGATTGTAAAATCATTCATTGACAATACATTTCTTTTAGTTAGATATAGTCTCTTAACTAGTTGCCATGGAAAAATATGTTAAGCCACAACTAAAACTCATTATGCTGATTAATTACGTTTAAGGTTTGCCACACATATATAATTTGCTTTGTGGCATAAGCTTAATGGTTTTCCTAGAAAGTGCGACTTCGATCAACATATGAATACAGGACCGATGATGATTTCTTACTAGTTTTTTCTTTCCCTCGATTTGCTCAATTCGCTTTGCTTTCAACAAGATTGAGAGAATGACTGGAAATAGTGTTAATCGCCTAATACGATCACATCAATGACTCATTGCTCCAAGATGGGCCATTGTCTAAGCTTAAGGGTTAGTTATCCCAGATAATTATTGCCATGCACCATCTGCGAACGTGGGATGTTTCTTTCTACTACCAAACAGAAAATGATTAAGCATTAATTTAAGCCTGGTCGAAAATAACAAAATATATTATATAGAGGAATATATATGCTTTTAGTAGGAAAAAAGAAAAAACAAATTAGAAATGCCCTATTGAAATGTTCTACGAGGGTCGGTCGTTGAAATATTTAATTTGGTCGGCAATTAGAACCTCGCAAATTATCATGGCTCTTATTATTGACACTCCAAAATCTTTCTAATTGAAAAGAGAAAAAAACAATCCAAGACGACTATATTCCACTAATTCAGTGCATCATGGTTTCATTAATACACAATAGAAAATATTGTGAAAAAAGGAAACTTATTATGATATCGAATTAAAGAATAATCAAGCGTTTATACATTTTGTGCTTGTATCTTCCTATATTGTTGTGCAGTTTTTCGTTGTTTCCGTTATTGTTAAGATTTGCACTAGAATAATAATGAAATTAATTAGGGTTTTAAATAAAAAATACGAAAATTATTAATAGTGAGAAGAATATATCTTTATGAGATTAACTGCTAGCTAGCTCCATGCCTCGTAATATTGAATATAGAAGCTTTATTTTTGTATACGAAATCCCATATATTTATTCGTTTTCTATTTGGTCTATTTTCTAATTTTCATTTTCCGTATTCAAGCTGGAAACTAGAAACCAAAGAAATAATTAAGTTTTCATATTTTAACATCGAACCCTTAAGACATTTTAGTTGTGTGAGTGTGAGAAATCCCCTTTCTCTGTAGTTTAGACTATCGATTGTATTATTAAAAAAACCTTATATTTTGAAAAAGTAGTTAATAATTCTATATTGTTTATAGCGGGTTTCTCACGCAACAATTAATTAATTAATTTGCTTAAAATGGAACAGATAGGGTTTAAGGCTTAAGCTTTTTGTTTTTTTGGGTAAAAAAGGCTTATGCTTTTGCTTCCCCCTTTAACATGTGCCCAGAAATCCCCTAAGCATATGTGGCATGTGCGTGGATAATGAAAGTGACTCAACTATCCACTCTGCTGTGTACACGAAATGCTCCTCTTCCTATCCAAACCCACATTGGCTGGACCCATGGCCCACACCTCCATATCAATTAATTAATTATTTAATTAATCAATCCAAAAATAACACATAAAACAAAACAAATAATTACCAAAATAATTATTAAAATTTAATCTGCAAAAGCGGCGATAAAAAGCAGCCAGCACTCACTTATCATTTTCGTTATTTTTAATTTTAATTTTAATTTTTTTACTTGACTATCACCGCCGATAAATTAATAAATAATAAAAAATATAAAAAAACAGAGAATATGTCCTCAGTCTCAGCTCTTCGCTCGTTCTCCCTATAAATATTGAAGCAAGTCTCGCTTGTCCCGAATAAAAACAGAGAGCACTATCTCTGTAGACTCTCTGTGCTGAGCTCTTCAGTAGGGTTTTGTTTCTCTCTCTAACTGAAATCGGAACATCCATTTTTCTAACGTTGATAGTCTTCTGAGAATACGGAACGCGCGAGAAATGGAGTCGTATGCGATACATTTGGCCATGGCGGCTCTGGTTGGGGCTTCGCTGGTGGCTGTGTCGGCCTACTATATGCACCGCAAAACCCTAAATCAGCTTCTTGAGTTTGCGAAGACGGTGGAGAGGGAGAGAGAGGAAAACTCCGATGGCGGTGACTCGCCGCAGCACATGAAAAAGCGTAGAAGCCACGCTCGTCGCAAGGGCAGCGGCTATTACCGGCGGAGCTCGGCGTCGTTGCCGGACGTGACGGCGATCTCCGGCGGGATTGACGGTGACGATCATAGGCGCAACGGCTTGCTTCCGGTTGATGGTATTCCGGCCGGGTTGCCGAGGCTGCACACGCTTCCAGAAGGTATGGCTCGGCTCGATTTGTCACCAGAGTAATCAATTTTCGCTTTAATTTCATAATTTTGATTTGATACGTACAGTCGTGCTGCGTAGTTTTTGGAGTGGCTTCGTCATTTGGACATATGGTTTTCTTTTGGATTATCAATGCCTCAATAGCTCCTTCTAAACCACAGTGTATTGGTACTTTATAATATAAGTCTGTACTAATTGAAATACTTATAGATATTGCCTTATATGGCATCTCTGTATGATGAGAAGCAGTAAGCATGACACTCATTTACTTTCATTTATTTTTAAGCGTAACCAAAGAGTAAACCAAAATGGAATTAGAACTTACTTGTTGAAAGTAAGGTGTGCTGTATTCATAGAGTTTTGGTGGCTACTTTGATTCCTAAAATTACTCAAATGGGCATGAAAAGAGTAACAAACAAATGGAACAAATAAGATACTCGGCGGGAGCTCATCTGTAAATGTTGAACAAGGAAAAGGTACTAAAATATACAGGACACAAATTGGATGCGACAAGGTTTCTATGTCCTCATGTTATCCACATGCAAACTGGCAAATGGATTTTCCATTTCCTCTTGACACCTTAAGTGGGCTGGAACATGGTGGCAAAGAGTGAAATTAATGCAAGTAATGATGAAAGATTTTCTTTCACAATGTATATTTTCTTTATGCTTGATGTTGTTATTAGGCTTGGATATAATATGAATTGTACAAATGCGCAGCATTTCACGAAGTTTCCTTTTTACCCTCTGTCTCTGACATTACCAAATTTTTGATATCAAAGCACCAGTGTGATAGATGCCAGTTTCCTTTGCTGTTAAAGTACAGACTTCTTCTTTTTCAGGGAAATCTACTGAGCTTGCGAGTTCAGCTAAGAGAAATGGTAATCTTATACGACCAACTTCTCCTAAGTCCCCAGTTGCAAGTGCCAGTGCCTTTGAGAGTGTAGAAGGATCAGATGATGAAGATAATATGACTGACAATGCTAAACTAGGCACTGTGGTGAGTTTATTCAGCACCTGTGCAGCATGTGTGTGTCAGAGTGAGAGAGAGGGAGGTGCAAACCTCCATAATCTCACTTTCTTTAAAGTAACATGATGTTCTTGCACATTGTCCTTGGCCTCACATTATCATTGCACATTCCAGTGAATGTGTGCATCTGAAGTTTATTCTTCAGGGAAACTGAGTTTGTTTCGTTATTCTTGAAAAATTCTTACGGATCTCTGGAATTGGATTTGGACATCTCTTTCAGGGGCCAGATGGTAAAATCCATTTTGAGAATTTACCGAACCATGTTAATGCCAATGGAGAGCAAATTGCTATAGCTCCTTCAAGTATGATTCGGTCCCATAGTGTATCTGGTGATCTGCACGGCGTTCAGCCTGATCCAATTGCAGCTGATATTTTAAGGAAAGAGCCAGAACAAGAGACTTTTGCTAAACTTAAAATTACTCCTACTGGTATGAGCTCCTTCTCTTCACCCAGAAGTACATTTCTGTGGTTGTTTCCTTTTTATTTATGATTTATTGTATATTACAATTTCATGCATATTTTAAGATGTGTTCATTTGAAGGGTTTTGTATGGACTTGCTGTATATCATTGAACATTACTTGTTGCTGCCAACTAAAAAGTTACTAATACAAATTGTAACAAATAAGAAGTTCTAGGAAACATTAAGAACAAGGAGCACATTTTCAACTCTTGGGGAACATTGACAAAAAACTGGATAACCTGAGCGGGTAATATTAAAGGTAGCAGTGGTTTTAACAAGATAATTGATTCCGTTAAACTTTTGATATCAGGTCAAAGAAGCATGTATATTCTGTATGTGCAAATATTCATGATGTAAGCCTAAACAATGCTCCTTTACTAACTTCCCCTGTTCACCATATTCTTGCTTCTTATTATTTGGTTTTTGACGAGTTACTGATTGTGTTTCAACTAGTTTAAGTACGTGATGTTAAATTGTAATTTTGAAACTGGAGAGTGGGAATGACATCCTCTTGGTTCTGTTTTCATCTATAACTTTTCCAGAAGTGCCGTCTACCGATGAAGTGGAGGTCTATGTGGTTCTTCAAGAATGCCTCAAATTGCGAAAAAGATATGTATTCAGCGAGACAGTTGCTCCGTGGGAGAAAGAAATTATATCTGACCCCAGTACCCCAAAGCCTAACCCAGCACCATTTTTTTATACTTCTGAGGGGAAGTCTGATGTGAGTTTGTACTTTTCAAATTAGTGTTCTAACTTCTAAGCTCTAACTCAGAAAAGTAGTTTTTTTTGGGGGTCCAATTTACACGTTTCTCCTTTGTTCTGCAGCATTATTTTGAAGTGCAAGATGGGGTTGTTCATGTGTATCCTAATAAAGATTGTAAGAGGCTGTTGCTGTGTATCTTTCCTGTTTGTCATAGTTGAGGGACATTTGTTCCTCGGTAGAGATCTTAATGCACATTTGCCCCCTCCCCCTCTTTTGCAGCAAGAGAAGAGCTTTTTCCTGTTGCTGATGCAACAACCTTCTTCACTGACCTACATCACATACTTCGAGTTATAGCAGCAGGGAATATCAGAACTTTATGCCATCATCGACTGAATCTTCTGGAACAAGTAAACAGACTTTTGTTGATAATTATTAGTCATTAAGATGCCTGCCGATGCTCTTTTCTACGTGGGAGCAGTAATAGTTCTTTGACAATGTGTTTATTTGTATGTCATTCAGAAATTCAATCTTCATTTAATGCTTAATGCGGATAGGGAATTTCTGGCTCAGAAAAGTGCTCCGCATCGTGACTTTTATAATGTCAGAAAAGTTGATACACATGTTCATCATTCGGCATGCATGAACCAGAAACATCTTTTGAGGTTTATAAAATCAAAGTTGAGGAAAGAGCCTGATGAGGTAATTTAAAAGTTTTATGCTGATATTTTGTCAAGTGTTTCTCTCTTTTTTGTTCCCTTTATTTCTATCAACTGTGCATAATCATTCCAAACTTGATAGTTTCCTAAGGGGCAATGCAAATAGTCGCTTAACTGTTGAAAAGAGGTTTATTATAATAATAGTTATGACTATTGCATGATATTCACTGATTCTTGAGTTTTGTGTACTTCTATTCAGGTTGTGATATTTCGAGATGGAACCTATTTGACCTTGAAAGAGGTTTTTGAGAGTTTGGATTTGACTGGGTATTTTATTCTGCCATTTTTTATTTTAAAAAAATATACATATTCGAATATCTTATTGTTATCATTTCTTGTTCATGTATTAAAAAATATTTATTTTAAGCAGCAGGAAATAATCTCTCTTCACATTTGTTTCAACAGGTACGACCTAAATGTTGACCTTTTGGATGTTCATGCAGACAAGAGCACATTTCATCGTTTTGATAAGTTTAATCTCAAGTACAACCCCTGTGGTCAAAGTAGGCTTCGTGAGATTTTCCTTAAGCAGGATAATCTTATTCAAGGTATTGTTTTTTGCTCACTTATTATAGGTTACTGTGTTATAGTGAAGACCTAAATTCTTAAGCCATGGCTTTGAGATGTCGTTTCTATCCATTTTAATGAATTTATCACAACGCTTAATTTTTTAGTCAGCGATCAATATATAAATTGTGGTCTTAGATAATCTCTTCTTGAATAGGTCGTTTCCTTGCTGAGCTGACCAAGCAAGTGTTTTCTGATCTGTCCGCCAGTAAATATCAGGTGCTTCCTTGCTCTTCTGTTTGCAGATAGGTTTTCGTGCATGATCTGGTCTCTGTTTGTCTTCTTAATCACTTTCTGAGCTATCCTTGCCTTGTCATGTGTGAATGTTCATTGCGTGTCTTTGTTGTGTTTCTGCATGTTTAGATAGATCAGCCTCTCCTGATGCTCCATTTTTCTGCTGCAGATGGCTGAGTACAGAGTATCAATATATGGTAGGAAGCAAAGTGAGTGGGACCAAATGGCTAGTTGGATAGTGAACAATGAATTATACAGTGAGAATGTTGTTTGGTTGATTCAGGTAAAAACAAGAATTGTTCTTCTCTGTAACGTTTATAAGATTATTGGAATTGTATGGTACTATTCCACAAGCACTTGTATCAGATAAAAATCTTGAATGTTACTCTTGTGTTGGTTTTTACTTGTAATTTTCTTCCTTCTTTCAGCTGCCACGGCTGTACAACATATACAAGGAAATGGGAATAGTAACATCATTTCAGAACATTCTTGACAATATCTTTATTCCACTATTTGAGGTTACCATAGATCCAGATTCTCATCCACAACTGCATGTTTTCCTGAAACAGGTTTGTCACCTTGTCTGCAAAATCTTCAATTTTTTTTTCGTTTATGTAGGTTAATTAGGTTAGTTTACATGTTTAGAATCCCAAAAGGACCCTCAAAATTTCTTCTTCTCTTATACTTTTTCCCCATATGTTATAAACGTTGGTCTGATTAATATGTAAGTCAAGCTACCATCACTGGGTTTACATTTAAGTATTCTCCTCGTTGAAAAAGAGAATTTCGGGAAATCAGGCCACTGGTTTGCATATATGTATAGGTTTGAAGAAGTTCTTGCTTTGATGCTTGACTTAAATATGCTTGAATTTCCAGGTTGTGGGGTTAGATTTGGTGGATGACGAAAGCAAACCTGAAAGACGCCCCACAAAACACATGCCAACACCAGCACAATGGACCAATGTATTCAATCCTGCATTTTCATACTACGTGTACTACTGTTATGCTAATCTCTACACATTAAACAAGGTATTCTGCTGTCAAAAACAATTTTACACTTTGCTATGTTCTGTATCTATTACCTAAATTCTATTCCCCATACTATCTGAAGAATAGCTTTGTGATTAGGGTAGCATAGCTTCTATCGTATCCCTCTTGTCCCTTGTGATTGTTTACGCATTTCCTTGTTTATAATCATGAAAGTCAAATGGGTTTAGTTCCTTTTCTTTTTTCATTGTTGTAAGTCTCATTTGCAGTGGTTGCAATACCAGGGCCTAGATTTCACGAACTTTGTTGGTTGTTCATATGGCTTGCTTGGCTTATCCGCTTGCTTTTTTTTTTATTTTTCTTATAAAAATACCAGAATCTTTACAAGTTTAAGAAATAGTAAAATTATTCCTATTATTTAAAATGTTTGGTGTTCGCTTTTATTTTTCTGTATTCTCCTAATTGCGATACTTAATATATGTTTATGCCATATATTGTCATCAAATGCTGAGCTGTTGGATTTTTATTTATAGCTTCGTGAATCAAAAGGCATGACAACAATCAAATTTCGTCCACATTCTGGGGAGGTATATATTAAAGAGTTATTCTCTCTTTGAACACAAGTATTGCATAATGTGAAGTCATTTGCTCAATAATTTTCAGGCTGGTGACATTGACCACCTTGCTGCAACCTTTCTTACCGCAAATAATATTGCACATGGAATCAATTTGAGAAAATCTCCCGTGCTTCAATATCTGTATTATTTAGCCCAGGTTAGGAGAAAGGATTCTTATTTATAGGATAAATGACTTTGCCTTGTGCAATTTCTGATTCTCTACAATCTCTTGTTTATCTTATCAGATTGGCTTGGCTATGTCACCCCTGAGCAACAATTCATTGTTTTTGGACTACCATCGGAACCCTTTTCCTATGTTTTTCTTACGAGGTCTTAATGTTTCTCTTTCTACTGATGATCCTCTCCAAATCCACTTAACAAAAGAACCTTTGGTGGAAGAATATAGCATAGCTGCTTCTGTGAGCTCTCTCTCTCTCTCTCTCTCTCTAGCTAAAGGTATGTAAAGGCCCAGTTACTGAGAAGTTCTTCCTTTACAGGTATGGAAATTGAGTTCATGTGACCTATGTGAAATTGCCCGTAATTCAGTCTACCAATCTGGTTTTTCACACGCACTTAAGGTACGTTACTATGTTATTGCATTACATAATCTAGCCAATGCATCTAGCTACATACCAGATTTGAATGTGCAATTGATTTCCCACAAATGCACTTGGTTTGTAATGTGATGAGTCATTATTCTCGATGAGCTTATTTCTCTGAAATAACGTATGCGTAGTTGTGGTTGATAGTGTTGAACTTGAGTCTTCAAATTTTCTGGTTCAGTCACACTGGATTGGCAGAGAGTACTACAAGAGAGGGCCAGATGGAAATGACATCCACAGAACAAACGTGCCTCATATCCGGGTGGAATTTCGTGAAACGGTGGGGAACTTACTCTGTTCTCTCTGTGATTTCTTCCATGCATGGCTTGTTTATGCTTCATCTCTCGCACTCTCTCCCACACACACACACACACACACACCACCACGCTACAATTGAATACCTCATTTTATATCATCTTATTATTATGCATATAATCCCTAACATAGGGGTCCAATGAGCATCTAGTAGCTTTTAGTTTCTTCGGCTGTTGTAAATGAACAAGCCTTGGAGAATACTGAAAGAGCTAACTAAGAAATATACCAATCAAACTGCTTGCAGATCTGGAGAGAAGAGATGCAACAGGTTTATCTCGGAATGGCCATGATCCCTAAAGAAGTTGAGAGGTGATGTCTAAAGGCATGCGCAACTTTAAGCCATACTTGAAGAGTAATCTGATAAGAGGTACGACTGGCTAGTGATTCTTGTTTGAAGGTTATGTTATACATTCCAGGAAGTGCCAGAAGCCATATGCAAGCATGAGGCAATGGTTGGGGGGGGGTCTAAGAATGAGGTGGACATGGTAACATGCTCAAAGTCGAGATTAAGAAGTGCGTCATTTCAGATTCAGATAGAGTTAGTTGGAGTCGAGAAATACAGACAAGAAAGAAGAAATGCCACTGTATACATGGCGGCCTTAGTCAAATAAGAAGTGGTTTTTGTACTATGAAGTTAATTACTAGGGTTAGTTTAATAATTAACTTCGTTGTAACATGAATATTGAATATTGTATTGTCTCAGTTAGTTTTATGTCAGAGAGATATCACAAAATGATGCTCATTCAAGACTCCTATAAACAATCATTCCTCCTCTCTCTCTCTGAAAAATACAAGGAAATTTGAAATTCAGAAAAGTTTCCTGAAAATTGTCACTCCATGAAAATGTCTTGGATTAAAATTAATTTCTCAAATATGAGTAGCTGCTCATCAAATTCTCTCAAATTCAAACGTAACCGTACAAATGTTATTCACTAGGAATGAAAGGGAAAACTATTCCTCTATTTCTTCTTGTACTGCTTGATCTCTTTCGTTATACCTTCAGCAAGTGAATCAACATCATTGTTCTTCCCAAAAAATTTAACAAATTCCATTTTGGGACTCATTAAGTACCTGCACGGAAATTTGAAGCGGTGTTATCATCCAAATGGAATTCAACAAGCATCACGAGACCAACATAGAAATGACTCATTTTAACAACGACATGAACAAACGACCCCCTTTTCAGCTTCCACACAAGAAAAGTAGAAGACCATATCAATATGTATTAGCATATTTGTTCTACGAAACACTATCGATCAGTGAGAATTCAGAACGCACTTAACAAATTTAAAGATTGGTTAAGGGACAGTTCAGTTCATATAGCAGGGATATTTCACACTAGCACATGCCCACATAAGTAAGCTGCTTTTATGAATAGGAAAGAAGGAATCAATATGGTAAAAGAACATTTTGGAAAATGTTGATACATACATGACTATGGAATGGTCGACAAGATAATCTGAGTCTTCTTCTTGGGTCTTCATGTAGTATACTCGATATGCACGAGCCACACTCCGTATTTCATCCAAGCTACCAGTTAACCCGATCAGCTTTGGATGAAACTCTGAGACAGTTGAGAAAAAGATATCAGGTATGAACTTACATCATGTAATTTTTACTTATTACAATGAGATCTAGGGTAGCACACTAAAATCTTGACAAGCACCTTTGACATATTCACGGACTTGCTCAACGGTGTCCCTTTCAGGATCAACAGATATGAACAAGGGTACTATCTCAATCCCTCCTTTTTCTTCTGCAGACACAACAGACCATCAATGATATAAGGAATTGCATGCTTGGGAATACAAATAATAAAAGTAAAAGATCAGAAAATGGTCTGATCTGCACTATCAGAAAATGGTAATACCAGCTTCAGGAAAAGAAAGAAAGAGAAGACAAATCCTCGTTCAAACATAGGACTCACTTATTTTATCAACTGCAGCAGCTAACTTCTGTAACTCATCTGGGCAGATATCAGGGCAGTGAGTGAAACCGAAGTATAGCAATGTCCATTTCCCCAAAAAATCTTTTTCAGTTACTCGCTTCCCATCATGGTTGATAAGATTGAATGGACCCCCAATGGCAGCCTTTCCCACAGATGGTCCTTGCTTTACTTCCTTGGATGCTTTAAATATTTCTGCAGCAAAATAATGAGAGGAGTTAATCCTCGGGTGAACAGAGTATGTAACCTTTACGCACACAAGCAGAATCTTGTGAGTCAAAGCTGAAAGCATCCTTAGACAAAATGAGAAGAGTTAATTAACAGAGAAAAAGGCTACAAATTTAACCTCAATATCAGCATTGGCAGCATATTGATACAAATGACACATCAAACAGAGCATGGGGCAAGATTAAAGAGAGACACTGACAAAGTTGCAAACTCATGGACTTCAACTCCAACATGCAAGACTCACATACATCCAACTCACCATAGTAGTCTACCTTCTATATGTTGTCTCTTTTCCTTGTCGTAATAGAGTACAATTCCAGCTCCAGTTGCTACCAGCAGCAGAAAACTCAACCACGAAACAGGCTGCAAAAGACAACCTCAAAAATCAACATTTCAATTACATTTTCACATTTGAATAACTAAGAACATGCGCTATACGATTACCCCTCCTCGAACAGATTTGCCAGCATTATTACTTTCATGTGATTCCCCAGACTTGTTCCCATCGCCAGAATTATCAGAATTTGCATTTTCTGAAGTTTTTGATTCTGGGTTTCCTTCATTTGCTGCAGTATTGGTTGTGGTTGAAAGAAGACATCTTTGATAAATCGCAAGCGACTGCGGTCCAAGCAGATGAAACAACAGAAAATGAAATAAGCTCCAGCTATTTCGATTTGAGAAGCAAAACGAGAATAAAGGAGAGGAAATTTTGAAACTTTACTAATTCTCTTCTCCAGAGCCAAATGGAGAAAGAACAGAAAAGAGTAACAGAGATGATATACGATTGAAGAAGACGAACCTGTTGAAGGAGTGGAAGATGCGGATTTTGAAGAGACTCGGCGAGCGGTGGTGACGAAATCGGCAACCTGGGTCGGACCAGAGAGCGGTTGACGTAACGAAGATGATTTACGGTCCTTGAAATGATGGTCGCCATGGATCGTAGCGGTGTGGAGAAAGCTAAACCCTTTTTCCTTTTCTTGTGAAGAATGCTAAAACCCCTTGCAAAGCTTTCTTTCTTTTCTTATCAAATTTGCAATAGCGTTTGAAGGTTTATTTCGGTAACAGTGATAGTGGGCTTGCTGGCATGGTAACAAATTGATGGGCTTTCTTCTTCTTCTTCTTCTTTTCGCAGTTTTTTTATCTGGCGGGGTACAAAACCGTGAAAATGCAAACCGATCCAAAACAACCGAATCAATCCAATTAATTCTTTCTGCCATTTTACATGTTTCTATTAGTTTGCAGTAAATGCTTAATTATAATTTTATTTTGATATGTTTCATTCGATTGGTTGTAATCTATCATTAGCTATCTTGCACGAACTACATAGAAAAATGTGGACTTAGGCACAGGATGAGTTTTGAAAGTCACTAAGAATACATGGAGCCAGAATGGCCTACTCTCACGTCAACATGCAAAGAATTTTGGAAATAGATGTTTGAGTTCACCATGCACAACATAAAAGGGGAAAATCCGCGTAAAAGGGGTCTAATTAGCTTCAAACTCAGCTGCTGATTACAATATTGTAAAAGGTTTAGAATCACCAGAGTTTAAACAAGTTGGAAACTAACAACATGCTACGTGCATTCAAAAGCACATCTACGAAACACAAAACTTCTTTACGCTGGCGGAGAAAGAAAAAGCATTCCATTTCACCATATACAGATGCTGCAATAACAGGCCCACAACCACCAGCCAAGTATCAACGGTTTTTGAAAGACTGCAGCCAGGGTTAAAAAAGTGCGAGGCATTAGAAGCAAATATCATATATATATATATTCTCAAATATTCAAAGGAGTAAGATTTTACAAGAAAGAAAACGTACATCCATGTTTCTAGATAAATCCTTCATCTGTTCGGCAAGTTGTTCCTTCTTCTTGGCAGCTGCATAAGCAAAATCATTGTAAAATAACATCACAACAATATACTCAAGTGTGCAGTAGAGTGACCAACTAATATTATTGAACAATACACCGCAACATTACCAATGCTTGAAATATCTTCAATCCTCTTTGACGTCCTCACAGCAAACCTCTGGAATGCACGGCTGAAAAGACCAGACAAATTTCATGTAAGAGATCAGTTCCATTACAAGCCTAGCTCAAAGAATACAGAACATAATTTTCAAGAAAGAAAAAGGCCCAATTTCTTCAGTTTTTTAGTTTGTGCAGTCATCTCCAGAAATCTTAGAAGCCTACACAAAGTCATCATAAGCATAACACTATAAACAGGGTGATGACGCAGGAGTAAATCCGCTGCTGAGCAGGACTGATTACAGGTCTAAATGACAACATTTCTCTTACAAGGGGACACACATACATGCAAAAAAAGAACGACATTTCTCTCACATAACTACGGTCATTGAGAGAGAGTTTAACAAATATTTCACAACGAATAAGCAATCCATTGTGGTAGCGAATATTAATCAAGGCCACAAAAAAAAGCTTTACTTAGAATGCTTCAGGGTCCAATCAATTCAAATCAGTATGCATCACCAGTACTGTAAATAGCATGTCCACATAGAATGCATCAAACCAGAAAGTAAAACAAAAGGAAAAGAACAGTAAAATATAGAATCTTAAACAACACCCAGAACTGTGGCAAAATATTCTCAACCCTCCAAATTAGAGGTTTTGAATTTGTTTCGCTTCCGGAAGCACACCAATCAGGAATTTAATGGCTTATTGGGAAGCTTTATTCACTAGCTCAATACTCATTAGCACTGACAAAATGGAACAAATCACATATACCAGATCATAGAAAATCATAATACAACTATAAAAAAAATTGTTATTTTGCGGCGAAAATTTTCCTCGAGCATCTAAATTTCCATAGCGCATAAAATTTTCGCGCCACGGCTGAAACAAGATTGAAGCTTTGAGATAATTTTGCTTCAAGGGAACGAGCCAATCGGGAACAGAGTGATGTCCGTGTGGCCAGAGAAAGAAGCTTTCAACAAATCAAAAGCTAATCAAATAAGATTATAGGATCGAGAGGTACCTGTTGGCAAGGCTATTAACCAGAACCTCATTGACAAGGTAGGAGACAACTCTGTTCATGAAATTCGCACCTCCCGCCATGGTTGTATATTGTCGTTGCCTAATCAGAGAGAGAAAAATCGGACCCAAAAAATAAATTCAGAGAGAGAAAATTAACTGGTTCACAGAAAAGAGGCGCGATATTTGACTAAACCCTAACCGCAAACCTCAGCTTTGATCTTTAAAGATAATGAGTGAGATTTAAATCCCAAAGATGATTAGAGACTGAGAGAACCCTAATAGTTGGAATTTTTACCTGAACAGCGTTAGTGATCAGAAAATGTCGTAGTTTCTCGAATCTCCCAGAAACAACAACGGTTAGGTGGCTTTGATTTCGTTGAGCCTCCAAATATAGCGATACAGTAAAGAACAATCTTCTAGTCGGGCTTTCGGCTGGGTTGTACGGCTCACGAC